TAGTGAAACAAACATATATGTCTACAACATTGATATAATACATCCATCCATGGTATGTAATAGTCTTCTACAGAGGCTGCCCTAAGTGCGTAAATAGTGTTCATATTGGTGCCCCCGGTATAAACAGGCTGCCCTTGATTTCCAGTTTGAATTTAATATATATATCTGAGTGAAAAATAGTCTTTCCTTCTGTTATAATATCAAGTCATTTTTGGTATCTGTTATTGTTTTCTTCTTTCCTCACTCTCTCCCAAACAACTTCTTTAAAAGTTTGGCATTAAAAGTTGGGTGGGGAGTGGTGGTATATACCCCTAATCTAAGCACATGGGAAGACTGAGGAGTACTCCATGTTCAAGGCCAGCCTGGGCTAGCTAGTGAGTCTCAGGCCATCCTGGGATACACAGTGAGACTCTGTCTCAAAAATACTGACCAGATAAACATTTGTGCTGGAGGATTGCTACATTCTAATTGAGAGTGAGCATATGTGGTTCACTGTTTGGTAAAGAATTTAATATGGGAACGAGTCATTTCCTGGTAAATCAATAAAACCAGCTTCCTATTTCCCTGTGGACAATCAGTGACTGGAAGAAGGGACTTTGGACTTGGTTGGTCCTTTCACTGTTTTGGATCAAAATAAATTGGTGAGTCACTTTGTTTATGAATCTCCTTGAAAACTTTTGACATGAGGTCTCACTTTGTAACTATGACTGGCCTGGCTCTGGATGGTGCTTAATGAGCATCTCAGGCTACACTGAAACTTGCAGTAATCCTCCTGCCTCAGCCACCAGAGTATAGGGATTGCAGGCTTGTTGCCAGGCTAATCAAGTCCTTTTTGTGTGATTCTGTATGTCAGGAGATCATTTCCATGGATATTTTATTTAGAGAGAAAAATGAAACCTATATCTCAAACCATCATTTATAAATGCCACAAACTCCTAGGCTGTCATTTTTGGTTGTGGAGTGTTTTCTTCCTGGCTGTGCTGTGTGCTGGCTACATGTGTGTCTGAAGGGCATGCATTTTAAAGGCAAGGCAGATTGAAGGGTGTAATTTGGCCACATTTTGCTGACTGCACTCCTTGCTGTATGTCTTTTAGAGACTTTACTGTTTTAGCCACGATCAGTTATTTCTTGACCCTGCTCCGAGTAGGCCTCACAGTTTCTTGACTCTCTTGCACATACAAATGGCTGAAGATGTAGCTAAGACATGAGTGGTCCTCTGCTATCATTAGTCATTTTTTGTCCTGTATATGAATCAGTATTTAATAAGAGAAAACTCTCTAAATGCCATTAAATGCCTTGTCTTTACTTTGGTCTATGACCTGCACTAATTTCCAGTTTTCAAATTGGAATCTAGAATGTAACTACTACTTTTAACTCCCTTCCTTTTAATTTTGAAGATCAAAAATGGTAGAGCTGTTCAGGTGGTCAAGGGGCCTTTTCCTGACCTTGAATGTGGTTTGCTGCTATTTCATTAAAAGGGGGAGGGGGAGGAGGAAGAGGAGGAGGAAGAGGAAGAGGAGGAGTGACAGCAGGTGGAGGCTGTCCTGCTTACCATTTTAGGTAGCATGAGCCCTTGGGATTTTAAAAAGATTGCTTTACAGTCTGACACACAGCCGTAGAGCCCCATTTTTAGCTGAAGGCGTCTTCCCAGTCTTCACAGTTCAGTGACTCAGGAATGCAGGGCAGGGATAGGGTGCCTCAAGGCTTCAGACGCCTCATGTCTGACAGACACCATGTCTGCCATGTGCATTGCCTTGTTCTTCAGGTCTAGGATCATCTCCTGACCTCCATGGTGGTCAGGGGGATGTTCACCAAGACCGGTTTCTTTCCATTTGCATAGGGTTAACACTGAAGGCAAACACAGCACAAGTGTGATTTAAGTTTTTTGTTTTTTGTTTTTTGTTTTTTTTTTTAAATCTGTCATCCAAACACTAATTCACACCACAGGTGTAGCTGAAGTTACCTGGGGAGCTTTAGGTTGTGTGGGTGGAATGTTCATGGAGATATATTCCAAAGATATGTTACATCACTTTTTATTTTGTTTTTAAATATGTTATTGGTTAGCAGGAACTTGTGTGTGTGTGTGTGTGTGTGTGTGTGTGTGCGCGCGCGTGCGCGCGCATACATGTGCATGCTTTTCAACTCAGGCTGAGATGTTGTAATATATACATTTTATTTACTGTGTATGTATGTGGGCACATGTACTACAGGGAAGGTGTGGGGGTCAGAGGAAACTTAGGAGAGTTGGTGCTTTCTTTCTCTTATTTGCCTCCTGGGGACTGAGCTCAGGCTTAGTGGCAGGTGCCTTTGCCAGCTGAGACATCTCTTCAGCCTGGCATTGTTCTTAGTGTGCTTCCCCGACACATCCAGAAAGTCTAAGGACTTGGCTTTGCAATCTACATGGGCTTTGATGTCTCGGTAGGACCATCTAGTGTTGCAAGTTAAGCCAACCACGGTTTATTTCTATGCAGTCAGAGAGCTCTTGGCTCTATATTGTAGGACAGATAATCTTATTAGAAAGCTCTTTAAAATCGGTGATCATTAAAAAAAAAAAAACTTAAAAGGATGGTAGCACATCCTTTCATGAAAAGGATATTTTAATTATATTATTCTATTAAACATACCACAGTGGTTATTATTTAACAGAGAGTTTTATCTTCAGTGTATGATCACAGCTGTCAAAAGGATGTGTCCTGTCATTGTTTTTCAGCTCTCTGTTCTCTGCCATTGGAGGCCCTAACCTTGAAGTGGTCATTTTGTTGAAAAGCAATTGATAAGACTTTTCTAATACTCTCCTTTTCCCTAAGCGCCCCACTCCCCTTTGCCAAAAAAGTACCATTTCTTTATCCAGTCTGAGCATTAGTTACAAAATACTGCTGGAGTGTGAGATGCTCACAAATAGACCCTTTGTGAGGGTCCACGCCTCAGCTTTGTCCAGCGGCTGGGAGAACACTGTATTGGCATGTGCTACCAAGACCGAGCTATCGCTAACTTGATGGAACTACAGGCTGTTGGGAAGGACAGGGCTGATAATGAAGTTGAGTTGAACCTGCAGATATTTTCTGTTGCTTGCCCTCCCTCCGTGGGTATTTTCCTGGCAAAAGGGAGGCAGGCGATGTTCTTACCTCTGTGGCCTGGGTGTTTTCAACAGCACTTGAAAGTACAGAGAACACACTTTTGTTAAAGACTCCCCAAAGAAGAGCAGTTTTGTGTCGAGTAGAAATCCACCCAAACATACCAATCTGACATAAACAACAAAGGGGTCTGCACCTTCTAATAAGAAAATTTAGAAACGTAGACTCTCTGAAGTCCCCTTTTTCTTTTGTCCCATGGTGTGAAGAATGGGTAGATACCTACAAGGGAGCCTCAAGGTGTTTTTCTTCAAGGTTGGTGGCGAGTTTTTACTCCTGACCTTTTCTCTGTGAACTAGTGGCATGTTAAGATAACCCATTGGACCAATGGCTGTGGAGCCTCCATGGGACTGGACTAGACCCTCTGCATAAGTGAGACGAGACAGTTGTGTAGTTTGTTTTGTTTAGGGGGCCCCTGGCAGTAGGATCAGGATCCATCCCTTGTGCATGAACTGGTTTTTTGGAGTCCATTACCTATGGTGGGACACTTTGCCCGGCTTTGTTGCGGGGGGGGGGCTTTGGCCTTGCTTCAGTTGATTTTCCCGGGTTTTGTTGCTTCCCCTTGGGGGGCTTTCCTTTTTGGGGGGGGGGGTTGGGGGTGAGTTGAGTGAAGAAGGCTGGGAGGGGGAGTGGGAGGAGGGAAGAGAGGGAGATCTGTGGTTGGTTGGTAAAAATGAATAAAAAAAATTGTTAGTAAAGAAAAAAATAGTAAAAATAAAAGATATCCTATTGGTCATTTTTTTGATGAGAAAAGCTGGTCATTAAGACTCAGGTCAGGGGCTGGAGAGATGGCTTAGAGGTTAAGAGCACTGACTGTTCTTCCAGAGGTCCTGAGTTCAATTCCCAGCACCCACGTGGTGGCTCACAACCATCTGTAATGAGATCTAGCACCCTGTTCTGTATACATAATAAATAAATTTTTTAAAAAAAGACTTAAGTCAGTCACACTAATTTAAGTCATGTCCTGTAGCAGGAATCTTAAAAGTTCTTATTTATAAAATTAAACATGGAGCCAGGTATTGGGGTGAATGCTGGAAGATCAGAAAGACAGAACACTCCACAGCTTCCTCACCTGACCATCTTCTCAGCTGATCTTGTTTCCTCAGACTGGATGCCTCTGAGTCCTTATCCAGAATGAATCTCAGCTGAACTGCTGCTCCAAAGCCTAAAAGCTTAACCAGCCCAAAGCTTCTAGTTTCTGGTCCTCACGCCTTCTGCACCTTTCTGCTTTCTACCATCACTCCCTGGAATTAAAGGCTCACTTTCTGGGATTAAAGGCGTGAGTCACCATGCTTGGCTTTATCCTTGAGCAGATGGATTTCTGCCTCTGGAATGCTAGGATTAAAGGTGTGTGCTACCATTGCCTATCCTAAGTATTTAGTGGCTTTTCTGTCCTCTGCCCCCAGATAAGTTTATTAGGGTACACAATATGTTGGGGAACACAATACCACCACAATGTCCTAGTGGGTTAACATGTCCTGTACATTTGGTATAGAGAGCTCAGGCAGGCTCCTGGATCTTGACATGTGTTCTCAAAGGTTTGCTGGGTAAGGCTTGCCTCCCTCATAGTGGGGAACCGTGGTCGAGAAGGTAAGTGCTGACGGTTGAGTGTGATAGCACAGATGTGTCCAAGGCGGCAGCAGTTCCCAATGTGGGGGTTGAGACCCCTTTGGGGGTCGACTGGCCCTTTCACAATGGTAGCGAAATTACAGTTATGAAGTAGGCTATGGGGTCACCACAGCATGAGGAACTAACTGCTCATAGCGTTAGGAAGGTTGAGAACCACTGGGCCGAGTTCTGTTAAGGTATGAAGATGCCTTTCTTTGGGCATGGTGTTTCTGAGTGTCTGTGTTCTGTGCTCTGTTACAGGTGTGAATGAGGGATGGCCATCGGTGACCAACGGGGATTTACTGCCTTGAAGGCACGCATGTGTGTGATTAAGGGATATACATGCATGACTCCAGGATTTACTTCCTTCCTGTCCCACAGAGTTACTGAAGGGAGTGAGTTATGGGATAATTTATAACGCGGCAGGCCCTTCCTCAAGACAGCCCTCGTCAAAACAGGAAGATGAAACTCAGGTTTCACCAAGGAGACCACAGCTTGGGATACTGTCTGGATGTACCTCTTAATTACAAGCAGAAAAGTCTTCATACGTTTCCCTTTCTAACCCTCAGGCCCCGCAAGAGGCATCTACTGAAAGGTGAGTATGTCCACCCTGTTGAAATGTGTGGACACTGTTTAACTGTGTGCCGCCCACCTTTCCTCTCTTGTTTTCTTTCAGACAGGATGTAGCCCAGGCTGGCTTCAACTCCTTAACTAGCTGAGCGTAACCTGAGCTGAGCTCCTCCTGCCTCTCCCCTCAAATACCGAGATTAAAAGCGTGCAGTGCACCCCCAGTCCTAGTGGTGTGTGGTGCTGGGCATTGAACCCAGGGCTTCACACATGACTGAAGCATTCTTTTAACTGAGCAACATTCTTAGCCCTCCTTCACATGATTTTTTTCTAAAGGTTTTGTGCTGCCTGGGCAAAAAAAGAAACTTGGTTGATATCTTGCAGAACAAAGCTTCTATTCACAAAGGCCAGAGAATCTACAAACTTTGATGGAAGAAGACTGAGCAGGCATTCTGTGCAAGATGGGACTCATCCCTTCTCTCTTGTTTCTTCCAGTCTTTCCTCTTCGTTTGTGGATTCTTGATCCAGTTTTGAGTTGGTCAAGGGTGTGTGTGTGTGTCGGGGTGGGGGATGTCAAGTGGGTATTTTCTGTCCTGGGCTTGGGTGCAGCTAAGTGGTAGATCTTTTAAACATTACAGAACCCTGGGTTACATCTCCAGCACTAAAAGAAGGGCTCAGAACTTTCTTTGCTGTGTGTATTTAGCCTAAAGGATTTAGCTGGCCTTGAGAGGGCTATTGTGAGTGTGTGAATGAGCACGTGTGTGTGTGTGTGTGTGTGTGTGTGTGTGTGTGTGTGTGTGTGTTTCAAGCAAGGACGTATAGGAGAACATTTGACAGTGTTCAAGGGGACTTGTTTCATAACCAGTGATGCTAAGTGTAGGCTTTTGTGCTTCATTTTCAACTTTAAATCCTAGCTTCAGCATGTATTGCAAGAATCATTCTCCATTCAAAGTGTCTGTGCACCCTGCGATTGCTGTCAACGGTCTCCCCACACTGTCTCATTCGAGGGAGTCTTCTGAATGGTTCTCATTGATAACATTAGATTCCTGAGCACTGAGTTCTGCAAGTGGTGTTTTTTAGGTTAAAAATATCAAGTTCACCTTTCACTTTGGAATGCCCCAGCGGTTGGCAGCAACTTCTTATATTAGAGAGTGTGAAAAAGAAACAGGAAGACTTCCAAGCTCTTCCTTCTCTCCCATCTGCCCCGGTGACTGCAACAGCCCCATAAATTACTGCTGCCCTTTTGAACTGACCTCCAGGTTCAGGAGATGTAAATAGTGATGGCCTTGACACCGCCTGCCCCCCACCCTGGTGTGCACTCTGCTCAGGAGAAGGAATCTCTTCAGTTAACTGAAAGCAGGTGGGCCAGTGGATCAGTAACTCTAGATACTCGACCATCCCCAGTTCTGAGACATCTTCCCTAGTCCTGTTTCTGGCCTTGGTGCAAGGAGAATGTCATAGGCGAAGGGGCCTCCAGAGTGCATCCACTTGTGTCTTTAGCTACTTTCTCTGTATTGGACTCCTGTGGGTCTAGCCCTTAATAAGGTGGCTCTGAGGACACCGAATATGTAAGTGACAACTTTTATATGTCTGTTAAAGTCAAAATCAAGGAAACCAGCACTACCACTAACATGATGCTGTACATTGGTTTAGGCCCGGCTTGGTCTCCTTCTAGCAATGTGGTCTTAGGCAAATTATTTCACTTCTCTGTCTCAATTTCCTTAATTATAAAATTAGAATAATCGTAATACTTACCTTTTCTTATTGTTGTTGTTACTATTATTTCTAACTAGTCTTTTATTTGTGTGTGTATGCGTATGTCCTAGTGTGTGAGACTGGTCCATGGAGGTCAGGGGACAATTTTTGGGAGTCAGTTCTCTCCTTGCACCATGGGTTCCAGGAATTCAAAGGCTTGCATAGCAAGACCCTTTACCAGCCAGGCTGGCCCTCCTTTCCTTTCCTTTTTTTTTTTTAAAGAATTAAAGGAGAGCCATCCACTGAAGTATTTCTTAAATAAACATTAAGCTTTCAGGGCTCCTCTGTCTCTGAGAGTAATACACAAAAGTGGTAAGACCTACAGCCTAGGATCATCCTCAATGTGTGGATTCTGACTTCTGGAGCAGCCGCTTCTCTTTGTTACATAGAGATTGGGGTGGTGTGGGGGTGTATCAATATTGCTCTGAGTTTTCAAAAAGGGTTTAATGAAATTTATTTTGCTGCTGATAGTAATTTTTTCTGGATTTATGTGATGTATGCATTGGGAAGGGGATCATCGGAATACTTGCTTGCTTGGTTGCATTGTCAGGTATTGTCAGAAGTCCTGGTTTCTAGACCCACACTGTACTGCTGGCTGAGTCAGAGAGGTGCCCCCATAGGGGACTGTGATAGCTCTGCAGGGGTTGGCCTGTGTCGCTTTAGGTAATTCTTCACTTAGGAGTGAGGGCATGAAGAGACAGTGCTTACCCATCTGTCTATTGGAACATTTGTATGTATATTACCTGAGCATTTAGACCCACCATGGAGAGAGAGGATTTAAAATGGAGAAAATGAAAATAAATTAATGTGATGGAACCAACAGAAGCGTCCTTGCAGAGAAAGCGCCAACAGTTCTTAGAAGCAGACTTAATAGCCAGTAGCAAAGCCCTGGGTTATTGTCTTTTAGAAGCAAAACCCAACACACAAAGCTGAAGCTGAAATCAGAACCTGGAACTGTTCCAGGGAAGCCTGGCCGTGCAGGCTTCTGAGTCTCAGATTCAAAGGAGGGGAAAAATCCATTTTGCAAAGTAACTTCTTACATTGATTGCTAGCCGTCAGTGGTTGATGGGTAGATCCTGAAACATTAACTGATTGAATTCTTCAGTGCTGTGTGGTTACAGTGGTGGCCTCCCTCTGCCTCTCTGCCCTTCTGAATTTGTGCATGGACACAGGAGACATGCGCTAAATGAGGAGTAGTGAGCAGAGTGCCATGGTTTGGCATCCGCTTGTTCTTTCCTAAAGAGAACCAGTGGAAAGACAGAGGATTTTGTGGAAATATTATTTATTGATTGCTTATGCTTTGTGGCAGCTAATAAATTGTCCAGCTCCTGACACACACACACACACACACACACACACACACACACACACACACACACACAATCCTCCCATTCCAGACCCAGATGTCATATGGGGAGCACACCATAGGAACAGAGGTTGATGGTGTCTGCCCCCTGGGCTCCTTTCCCCTTGGCACTGGAGACTGCCTTATTTCTTTTCCTGTCTTTGACACACTACTTTGAGAGTAAAGTAACTTAAGAGAGAAAGGGCTTATTCTGGCTCCTAGTTCAAGGGCATAGTCTCTCCTGGCCGGGAAGTGAAGGCGTCAGGAGCTAGATGCAGCTGCTTGAGTCATACCTACAATAAAAAAGCAGACGGTGATGAATGCCTGCTGCTGCCCAGCTTCCTTTCTCCACTGCAGCCCAGGGGTCCAGCCACGGGAGGTGCCACCCACAGTGAGCAGACCTTCCCATCTCAGTTGGTGCCATCACAGTAACCCCCAGGGCCTATCAAGTTGGCAGTTGACACTAACCATCACAGGACAGTCACGCTTTGTGCTTCCACTTGAGAGTGAGAGAAACCATCTAACTTGCATGTTGAATTGTCTTGACTGTTTTGTTTCTAAGCCTAGGAGTTCCTTGCACCACAGCTGTGACTTCTGAGAGCTGTGACTCTCCTCTGCTTGGCGGGCATCTAACTCCCGGGGTTCTGTGTTTCACCCTGCACCCAGATGCCTCTAGACTAGTGACCTCCTGAGGATGATGTGGGTGGCAAGAGGCTGTAGAGATCAAGCACCTCAGAAAGATGCAGAAACCAGGTTCTAAACCAGGTTCTAAGGAGCATTCAGCCCTCTGTGGCAGGTTCCCACACTCAGCCAGTGTTGGCGGTACTGTGGCTAATGGATAGAAGTGGGCTGAGGACGAAAAGATAAGGTAGAGCAAGGACCATCACTCAGGACTTGAGATTTCATATGAGACAAAAGGAAGAGATTAACAGCATGGTGAAGAGGGGGTATTTCCCAAGAGTAGCAGCTTACTTTCTATTGAACCTAGGAACAATGCATAGTCATTCATTGGCAGGCAATTTGGGGTAATGGAGTGTGGACAATTTCTGATTTTTACCTCCTTGCCTCCTGTGGTCAGTGCTGCCTTTTGTCGTGTTAGGAAGAAGGGGTGGTGGGTGGTGGTGGGGCTAAAAGAGAAAGCCAGTGAAATGCTTTCCAGATCTGATAACTTCCGAGATCTCAGGAGACAAGTCTGGCTCAGGTCCCAGGATGAGGTCACACGGTCTGCTGTTGGATTTATGTTGGGATGTCAACCACACCGAAGGCCTGCTGCCACGATCCCTCTGCAGTCGTTTATCAGGGTGAAGGGATGGCTTTTGGGTCAGTTGTGTCTGTACCCTGTGACTGCTCAGAAGGGTAGCCTGTTCACCGTGGAAGAAGCATTAAATATTCTTTTCTGCTGAACACCATGCAACTTCCATGTCATGAAATTTAAATCTTTTTATCTCCTCCACCTTGTAAAACCTTTATGCAAATATTTTAATCCTTCCTTACCTGGTGAGACCTTTGTTTACACAAAGGTCCTGCAGCATTTTCTACACTTAAGTGACTGAGATGGCCTATCGCTTCTCCATTTCTTTATGCTGATTCTTTGAAGACTAGCCGGTTGTGAAGGCTTGTGAAGGCAGACCCCAGCCAATGGGAGAAGGCACAGTTGCTCCCTATATTAGAATAAAGAGCAAGAGAAGTTTTTAACCACCCTGTGCTTGCTGGGCAGGCTTGGGTCCGTGCGTCTTATTCGTCTTATTCGCAAGGATGGCCTTGCTGAGAGCTGTCACTTGGCTTGTTCCTTTTTGTGAGACTGAGATTATTCTGTTCCTAACAACGGACCTATGTGGATATTTTCTTGAGCATGTCTGAACATGTCTGGACGCCCAGTGGTTTTTGTCTCCATAAGTCCTTTTGTGATTGTCCGTAGATTTGGGGGA